GTGCGTGTCTCTCTCAGTCTCTCCCAGCAGTGCGTGTCTCTCTCAGTCTCTCCCAGCAGTGCGTGTCTCTCTCAGTCTCTCCCAGCAGTGTGTGTCTCTCTCAGTCTCTCCCAGCAGTGTGTGTCTCTCTCAGTCTCTCCCAGCAGTGTGTGTCTCTCTCAGTCTCTCCCAGCAGTGCGTGTCTCTCTCAGTCTCTCCCAGCAGTGCGTGTCTCTCTCAGTCTCTCCCAGCAGTGCGTGTCTCTCTCAGTCTCTCTCCCAGCAGTGTGTGCCTCTCGGTGTCTCCTCCTCAGCAGCACATGTCTCTCAGGAGCACGTTTCTCTCAGCAGCACATCCTTCTCGGCCAGCAGTCAGAGAGATTCCTTCTGTCTCTAGGAGGGCTCCTTTTGAGCCTGGCAGAGTAGCCAAACTGACCAATCATAACATCAGAATTCTAAGCACCTGAGAGAGAGCGAACTTCCCAGAACATTGCTTTGTGGCACTCTCAACAGAAATACCCCAGGTGGATGACTTTAACAATCAGAAACTCCTCAGTTGCTCACAGCAAATTCCACCACGGAGTTTACAAAGACTTATGGCTAGAAAAGCCATACCAGAAAATTTACTACACCATGTGCGTCCACCAACTGTGACTCCAGTGCTGTTTCAACACACATGACCCAACCCAGTTCTAATGTGATCGGATCTTTGCTCTTAAACTAGTTAAAAGGAGGAAAAATGAGAAGAGGAAGGAGATGGCAGGGAAGAGCGCTCCAGGCAGATTAACAGATCCTAGCCACTTTCCATTATTAGCAAAGAGAATCACCTGCTCTGCACACCAGTGACCAGAGACTTGTGCCCACACTCCCACCTGCTCCCAAATCCACCTGGAGACAGGTGGGGAGCGGGCCAGTGCTACAAACTAACAACCAGAGGAGCATGCTGCCTGGTGCCAAGAAATAATGCCACATCTGGGAGATAACAGACAACTTCAAAACACAAAATAACAGGGCAAGACGGCTCAAACAAGTGACCAAAGCACAGGACCAGAAAACCTTCTGGAGGAAAAAATGCTATTGGAACTCCCTGCGAAGCAATCCAGAAGATTTCTACTCAGGTTCTTTCAGCAGCTTACAAAAGAGGCGAAGGAAGCCGCAGGTAAAATGAAAGAAAACACAGATAAAACTCTAGAAGAATTTAGAAGGGTGGGTACAGAGTCAGGTGTGTTTGCGGGGAGAAAGCCGAAGAGCCTCCCTGTGTGATGCTTCTGTGTTCTCTGGAAGCAGGAGGGGCTGCGTATAAATCAACCCTCCGAGCACTCCAGGCTGCTTTGAAGGACTCTGAGGAAAGTTAGCCAAAACCTTAATAAGAGGAAACAGGATGACTGAGGTTCACTTCCTGGTATGTCAGTTACCTCTGCCTTCCAAAGTTAAAGGATCCTGCAACTTACGAAAATGAAAGACAAACCAAGAGGTATGCCTCATGGTTGTAGTACAGGGATGCCTTGCCTGAAAGAACTTGTTTCTATAAAAACTGGCAACCTTTTTATTCAAA